AAAAGCTATTGAAGGTTTTAGGAAGCTTCATTTTGTATATTATTGGTTGTGGTTAATTGTTATAACTTATTATTCTCAACCTTTCTTAAGATTGTCTCCCTAGTGTTCAATGGTGTGCGGATACGGATTTGGAGATACGGTATATTTTAAAAAATAAGATATGAGTATGGTGGGATCAAATAAAAAAAAAAAAAATTAAATGCATTTTTTTATATAAAAAAGAAAAAAAAATATTTTTTATGAGTTTCCTGTAATATTATGAATCAAAATGCAATCATTAATACAACGTAGGAGTTTGTTTCACAATACATAACATAAGTAGTGCATTTTGAGCTTTTCTTAGCAGTTATATTATGTTATTATTGTTAGAAAAGTTACATTTTAATATTCATAACTTATTAAAAAATATGTTATGAAATATTTGAGAAACATAAGTTGGCACGCAAAGTATTAAGAAGTATCGAATACATGATAGAAATTTAAAAATATATATTTTAAAATTATAAACATGTCTAAAAAGTATCCGATATGCATTCGTGAATTTTTTTAAAATATCGATGTCCGATTCGTGTACGTTATTCTCATAGAGTATCCGTACTCGCTAATTCTTCGGTAACAGGGTTGTGCCCTTTTAGTTGCACTTTTTTTTTTTTAATCTTTTCTATTGTTAAAATAATAATATAATATTCAATACTGACAAGATCATTATAAAAATAAAAGGTAGTCTGCAATCTTGCTTTACTGACGGTAAATCAGACCAAGATAGATCATAAACCCGAAAATTATATATTTCACGAGGTTATGTTCTACAAACAATTTTCGATCACTTGACATATTACAATTTTTCTGCTCTAAGAGAAAAATATTTCAGACTGATGCTTTATGTTACGAATTTTCGGCGGTCAAGAAAATTTATTTTTTTGTAGACTCTAAATCACATTTGGAGAGAATGATCAGAGCACTAATTATGACGAAACAAAACAAAGACAAAAACAAGCCAGAGAGAGCCCAAACAGAAGGTCCAAGTCCACCTGCACAATTCAAATGCAATAACCGTTAGTGGTCATGGCTGCAAATACGGTACTGAAGGAGATGAACTCCAACCAATTAAATCACAACAACTTCAGGAAGCAAGATCAGCAGACTTTGCCGGAGGTCGAATCACTGACTGAAAAATATAGATTATTTTTGTTGCAATGTGCTTTGTATAAATGACCACAAAGGTTTGATCGTAAGGATATTTAAAGAATAGGTGGTCATGGCTTTCCAAATCCGTGTTACAAAGAGTGCACATGGTGAAGTTGATATGGGATGTACACCTTCTGCCCAGAGTGGGTAGTCTGTCTGTATTGCAACCCACAGGGTAAATGAATGCTTTGGCAGCGTTCGGACTTGCTAGGACAATATTGTGAATTATGTGTGGAATGTATCTGTTTTCTAATTTTAAACACTAGTACACTGAGTTACTTTAATTTGGATTCTTCCAATAATAATTTACCATATATTGTTATCATAATTTACCATATATTTTATATTTTTCAGAAGATAATCAATTTCCTTTGTACTAACCAAAAATCCCAAACAAAATCTACACACATGCAAAAGAAACACTCACATTGCAAAGTGATAGAGAAGGAAGTAAACCATAATAGATAGGCTTTTTATATATAGCAGAGGGCACCTTAAACCAACACCATTGCATATCTAATTCAAACAAAATATAACCCAAAAAAGATTTCCAAATCCATCAAAACCAAAAAAAAAAAAAAGATGTGTATGTGTAGGTCATCCCCCAAAACGTTTTTTCTTTAAGCATCATCTTAATTAATTTACTTAAGTCCAACATTAACTTTCACAGGTTCTTCTTTCTTAACAGCAACACTCTCTGTCAACTCAGCCTTAGGAGACTTCATCATACTCACCACCTGCAGTTCCACAAGACAAAGCCTCTTTCTTGACAGTCTCTGGCTTCACGTCTTCTTCCTTTTTTGGTGTCACCACTGCTTCCTTCTTCGGTGACTTCACATCACAAGGTGTTGAGACATAGCACCTTCCAGAGCAGCAGCTTCTCCTTTCCATCTTCCTTAATTTTCCTTCTTCAAACTGCAGAGGAAATTAGAGACCCAGTTGAGTGAAAACTAACGGAACTTATGAAGGATGGAAAGAGTGTGTTAGGGTATTTATAGAAGAATATGAGGCTGCTCATATTCTTCTTCATTCATTGTGCAATTTATTTACTTGTACATAATGAACTGCACCACTTAAGTGAGTGCAATGCACTTTCAAGTGCAGAAATCCCATGGGTATGGATGGACCCTTCAGTAGGGTCCCTAGATTGAGTTTGGACTGCACCTATCATGTCTTGGCATTATAGATCAATCTACTTTTGATTGGCATAATTAGAGTAAATCTATTTAGAGTAGTGGTATTCATACTGAACACTTGCAGTGAATTGTCTAATCGAATAATTTTTAATTGGTTATTTATACCAAATACAACTAAGTAAAGGGCTTCACTTCCTTATTTGTTGCATAATTGGCCAATTAAAAGAGTATGTTTAACAATTCACTGTAACTGTTCGTAACAATCATTTTCTATCTATTTATATCTATTTGTCAAGTAGAGAGCAACCCAGATAATATCTAGGGATAAGCGTAGAAAACACCCCTATAGATGCTTATAGTGCATGCCATACCTGACATCCCTCATGTGCAAAAAAATACCCTTAAAGTTTTAATTTGTACAAATAGGTCCCTCTTGACACATTTAAGTTAGAGTTTGTTTAAGTTACACTTATATTGACATTTTACATATTATTTAAATATATATATTTTGTGAAATGACGAAAATGCACACAAAGCAAAATGACGTCGTTTAGGAAGATAAAGAGAAATAATGATTATTAGCCTAGCTAATTTAAATTTTAAATAAAAATACTTATAAAATATGAGAATGTTATTGATAATATTAGATATCTTAAAAAGAGATTATGTGGAAGTTTAAGATGCATGGTTTTTGCCACTTCTCCATCGTTCTGAGAAAAAAAAAAAAAAAAAAAAAAAAAAAAAAAAAAAAAAAAACTTAATAGTAGTGCATATATATATTGTTTGAAAACTTTATGTACATTTCATAGTAGTATAGATTGATATGTATGTACTTTTGTGCCTAAATGTGTATATACTCATTTGCTTTGTAAGTTTTTTTTTTTTTGTTTAATGTGTATGAATATGTCTCATCTATCGTTTGAAAGTTATAGAACTGCATTTATATAACTATAGAATGACATCATCTTGATAATTAATGGTGTAATGACGCCATCCATAAAAGTTGGATACTATATCATCTCTCTTGATTTATAAGTCTGATTATGAAAATTGCTGGGGTTTGTGAATTTTCTTTTGGAGTCAAATTGTCCAATTTTAGGTTTTTTTTAGTGACTGAAGTTACTGCAATTGGATTCCTTCTGTAATTAATGCTCGAACAATTGCACTTTAACTGCTTCAAAATAAAACTATGTAAATTGTTCAAGTCTAGAGAATGCTTTCAATTACAATTTGTTTACAAGTTATACGAGCCTTTTGGCATTCGCCTACTTGAGCTATACTCATTTAATAATAAATAAAATGTGAAAGTAGTTCCTTGAACAAGTATTATGAGAGTTCATGAACAATTATATATGTATGCATATATATATATATATACACACACACACACAGATACATATTTATGTTTACTGTAAACATGTGTTATATACTAGTGTAAATGTGCAGTCACTTACTGTAACTCCACAGCATTAACAAGTGTAAATGTGCAGTCGATGGGCCTGATGGCGATGGCGATGGCAGTTGGTGGTGAGAACGGGTTGGCGATGATAGGTATGGTTGTGGGGTGGCGAGTGGGGAGAAAAAGGGGCCGTCGATGGTGGCGGTGATGGTGTTTAGTGGCGGCGATGGTGCAGGCGGCGATGGTGGTTGGTGGCGACTCTCTTTCTCCCTCATCATCTTCTCTGGTTGTCATTATGCAGAGAGTTATTTTTGTCATTTAATATGCCTGATATTTTTTTATAAAAACGAATTAAAAATTCAGGGACATTTATGACATTTCAAACCTCATGATATATGAAATATAGGGAGAAAAGTAAATAAAAAAATTAACTATTATATTCAGAAGAGGCCACGTCAAAGTAAGAAGTTTGAATCAATTCTATTATTATTTTTATTTGTGTGGATTTGTTTTTATCCGCAAATTTTTAAGCTTATCCTACTTCAAATTTTAACTTGTGCACAAATATTACATGTCATTTCTTACTAATTAAGTGATATTGTCTCAACCGGAAAGGGCCTACACAGGAACGGTCGGCCATCTTTTATAAATAGTTTGATTTATTTATGGCTATGAAATAATAAGCTAACGTTGGTGAGTGTGAATAAAATTGAGATTAAAGAGAGATATATCATAGTATTGTTATGTTATAGCATGCGGATGCGGAGAAAGAAAATCATTACATCATATATGAATTTAAGAATAATTTTGACATTTTTTTTCTTCTTGTTTCTTTGTTAATGATAAAGTATGGCTAATTTAGTAATTATAATGCCAAAATTATGATTTGTCTGTACAAATTAAAAAAAAATAAGGGATTTTTCTAACAATAAAGAGTAATTACACCTTTTGTATATTATAATAGAATTTTTTAACTCTACTTAATAATTAATTTTTGATTTTATCAAAATGATTACGATTTATGAGAGTTTCAAAAAGAAAAGCTCAAAGCCAAAGACCTCAGTTTAATAAAATTTCAAAATATTAAAACCTAGCGCCTTTTCTCTCAATTTTTCGCAACTCCTTGTCCTTGTCACTCCTTTCTCTCATCCAATCAGAATCGTAACAGAACACCACCACAGAGCCCAAGAACGAAGGTGAGTTTATGAATTGAACTCGTATATATTTTTTTTGTTCTGTGTTTGTCTCTTTTTTCTTATAGTTCTTACCCTGTTCTCTCTCCTCACACCAGCGATTCTACCGTCTCCAAATCAAACCATAATGGAGAATCAGAGTCAGCTCCCAGCCGCCGCCGCCGTTCCCCAACCCCCAGCCGCCGCCGTCCCTCCCCAGCCCCCTCTCGCCGCCTTCAACCCGACTCTTCACCCTGTCACCTGTGGATGCGGCAGTAAGATTCAAATCAGGTTCCCGTACGGTGCTCATCATAGGGTCACATGCCGGAGGTGCGGTGACTATTTTCACTTCGACATCCCAGCAAAGTATGCATTCTTCTAGAATAGAACAGAGGATTTTGTTATTTTGATTGCAATTTATTTTATTTTATTTTATTTTATTTATTATTATTATTATTTTTTCTGTTGTTGGATTTAAACTATTCAATTAATATTGTTTACTTTCCTTTTCCCCAATTTTTCTTACAGTGATTGAGCTGTTTAAGCTGGACGCTGAGATAGTATGGATTTTGAATCTTCGGTAAGAAGTACATTCTCTTGTTCTTCTTCTATCCAATTACTTTTCTGTAAATCAATATTTGGCTTGAGTTGGTTGTATGTGGTTCTATATCCATTAAATGATGTTGTTTTAGCTTTCATATCACTTCAACTTCGGTTTGATTTGGGTAACTGAGATCAGATTATAGATTTGGGTGTTCCAAATACCCTAGGTTAGGTTTGGGCATTTGAAGAACATATCTTTTGTCAGGTACCTAAGTTGATGCTTTCTATGTGATTTTTGAAAATGAGTTTGAGCTTACTTTTCTCCTTTTAATGATCAGAGTTAGTAGTCACAATATTGTTAATGAAATCAGTTGAGTCTTCTGTTGATCACTAGTCTAAACTTTGGATATTTTGTTGAATATTCACACTGAGTTGGATATCAGTCAAATTATAATTCAGTGTGAATTTTCTCTCATTGTTGTTTCTCCCACGAACTGTTTGAAGTCCTTAATTATTCCAACTTAAATAACTAGAATTTGATCATCGGTGGGCTAGTGCACTTAGGATATGCTGAAAATATTTTGTACTTATCCTAATCTGCTTCGTGCATTGTCTATTTAATAGAGCTCCTTTATTATTTTTTTACTTTTCTTTTCTGGGCTAAATGAATTTGGTGTTGAATCACTACTTTTTGTATCTTTTAATTTGTGAATATGGTGGTGTTTTGTTGGAATCTTATATGCTTCATGGTAAACTGAGTTGTAACATACCATTGGGTGTTAATTATAAATTAATCTGCTAATTCTGATACCAGGAGAGAACATTTTTTTTTTTTTTTTTACCAGTGTTAATGTTGTTGTTGCTTATTCATCTTTTGTTGTTAATGCCATATCTTTGTTAGCAATTTGACTTACTGTTTTGGTCTATTCCATTTGTGTACTATTTGATCAATCTCGATTAATGGACAGATTAAAATTTGTTTTTGTATCCTAGACACTAAAGTATTTTCTCTAATATCTACTGTTCTCTTAAATCTTGTTATCTTAAGAACTTATTTCCGTGCTCTGCTGTCTGGCATGGTAGCATTGAGAAAAGTACTATGACAAACTTGAAAAGATGTGAATCTTTTAGGTTTTGTACAGTATTTCCTTACGTGCAAAGGTTTATGTTCACAGTCTCCTGTCCTTTAAGAGCAAGTAGAAACATAAATAAAGATAAGGTTATTGTTATCACCCATTACTGCTTAGATAACAAATTATGTCAACCCTAAACCTCTTTAGTTATTGTCCTTCTTAAACTTTAATGTAATTAGGATCATCCAGCAAGTTTCGAAGAAGCGTTCCAATTTTATCTGCTTTTTGCAGTTCAACATCAACTAATTTCAGCCGCTCAAGGCATCTCATATTCTTGCCATCATCTTCTGCTTTTTTTAATTAACATGGATAACCCGCCTAATTCCTTACTGACTCATTGGTAAAAAATGCATCACGGAAAAAGCAATGCTGATAAAAAGTCCAATGCTGCATCTTCTCTCTTATTCTTTCAACCCTGGAGCAGCCACATCTTTAATTACCTTATAATGAACACTACCCTCATCAGACAAAGTGACAACTGATTTAGCGAAATCAATCAAAGCTAGAGTATCCATATTACTCAATATTTCCTTCACATGTAGTGATGGAAGCAATTGCTCAATATTTTTCTCCCCAAGTAAAGCTTTCATCAACAACACAACAACATTACAAGGACAAGCAGAGGGGGCATACCCCATCAAACAGTGGATGGTCAAAAATCATTTCCAGAAATAGTCTAGCAAACACAAAAATCTAATTAAAAATGGGATACAAAAGCTTCTAATATATCTATAGCTGCATAAAAAAGCATAAATCCAATCCTTTATAATCAACTCCGCACTCTTTAGTAGCCAGCCAAGTGGTCATATAGACCAGAAATGCCCTGTCATCAAGCAGTACACCAACTAATCTGACCAGCCCAAGATTTGTTGCCCAGAGCAAATACGATCACAGTGGAAATTAGCAAGACTATATCTATGGTAGTAACCAGCATAACAAACTGAGCAACTTATTCATTACATATTACCGTTCTTTTATTCCCAATATACTTCCAATTCATCTTTGCTCATTTCCTGTAATGTTTGATATCTGCAATGTCTGATAATTGCTTCGTATTTTCCTTCGCAACATCTTCAGTCAATTTATCATCTATATTGCCCACCTCCCCCAAATTTACTATCTTCTAAATATTCTAGAGTTTTAGTACAAAATTAGTTACATGCTAATATCTACAAAAATTTAGGATCTTTATAAAAAATCATGGTATTTCTTATATCCTTCTATGTAGGAATATTCTAGTACATCAAATCTACACATGATTGTTTATCTGGAAAAATTTTACTGAGCTATATCTTAAATGACTATGGTTGATCGACTGTAAAAGTGTTTGTTAAAAAATGATGAAATGACTAGGTACTAATCTTTCTTCTCGTTATCTTGGTTAAGAAATATGTTGGAAAACAGATATTGGTCTTCTACAAGAAACGGCTGTTATATTACCAGCTTTACCTCTTGGAAAAAAAAAAAGAGTTCCATAGTGAAATCCATCCTGCAGTATCATTTTTAGGCAGAATTTTTTTAGGTTGGGAGTTTTGTTTGCAAGAATATATATGTATATATATATTTTTTGAAGTATGTTAACAACATGGAAAGAGACAACAGGTCCATTTTTTTATTCTTTGAGTAGCCTTTTTGTGGCAAATTTTCATTTGTATTATCCTCTTCTCATAGTTATAAAGGGAAATCCTTTAAGTCATTCTTTCTTAATGGTGCATGCAAAGCCTTTTTCATCTCCTAATGATCAAATGTTTTGGTCATATGGTTTTTTTACACTGTAATTTTTTTGCTTTCCTTAATCATGTTGATTTTGTGTGGTTTTCTTTTGTCTAGGATTTACATATTACACTCAAACATATAAACATTAGAATTCCTAGCTTATTCTGGCATCTCACCTCTGGTGGTAAGCACTAAGCAGGTGAAATCCAACTTTGTTGCTTGTAGTCAAATAACCCCCAGTTAATTTTGGATCATATGTTCAATTTTAGTTGGTCATGTGGATCAGGTTCTCTTGTTTAGGACTCTTAATATAGTTTATGATAGATGAAAGATGATCAAGAATAATGAATAGCTGCTAATTAGTAGATGGATAATTAGAGGCTGTTTTGGAGGAGAACCAAAAGGAAGGTCTGTTTCCATTCCTGAAACTGTTAAAAAACATATTTTTGCACTTTTCCTTTCTTTTTCATTTGATCTTTATGAGAGGATCGCAGCTTAGATTTGTGCCAAGGTTACAGACCTGCCTGGACCGTCCAAAGGGTTATTGTAGATAAGACTCATGTCTAGCGGTAGCTTCAGGGAGTGCTCTTCTGTTATCAATGATGTTGCGCAGATGGGATCGAAGATCAGGCTCATTAAAAGGTCAGGGTTGTCTACATGAGTAAAGAGGGGTAGCATCTGGAAGTGCTCACTGATGGCTAGGGAAGGCTTATTGCAAGAGCTTTAATATTCTCTTTCCTAGGTAATATTCCCTTGAGCGCAGGTATAAATATGTAATCTTTCCAGTAGTGGTGGTCTGTCCCAACGTGAGATCAGTAGTTGTAACAGAAGGGATTTTTATCTGAATACCATCTAGTAACCAATTTTTTTGGAAATTCTATTTCTGATAATTGAACACCAATATAGGTTCATTTAACCTGCATTTCTCAGTCCATTCTTTTAAATCCTCAGACCACTCAGGAAGTTGCAATAGTAACATATGGCTAATTTTTTTAGCTAATATATTTCTAAAAATCAATTGAGTTACTAGCATGGAACATCTTATTACTTGGGCAAGTGGAATGATACATGAAATGTGATGCTTGATATTTTATGAATTAGTATGATATTTTCTTTGCCTATTGTAACTTCAAGTAGATAGAAACCTGCAGGGAATTAAAATACTGTCATGGAAAGCTACAGTTCAAGAATAACTGAACTTCGGGTTTCAAATTATAGTAGTCTATATTCATGGGTGGAATATTTGTAATTCAAAATTGAAATTTTAATGTTTGAAATAAAATGTTGCGTTTGGGGCGCCTTGGGGTTGGAATTGGAGAAAATTTAGTTCAAACTTTTAAACAATTACTAAAAACACATCTAAATCTAAATGTACCACTTAGGAAATGCGTTCAATCACAATCTGCTTGCTTGTTAATAGAAGCCTTTTGACATGCACCTACTTGAGCTAAATTCATTTAATAAACACACTCAGAAGGTCAGCTCCTTAATTGAACAGTGTTATGAGAATTCTTCAAGAACAATTATATTGTATGCATATACAATATATGCCCGTGTTCACTGTAAATATGTGTTACCTATGTTAGCTTCGAGGGTTACGTTAAATGTGTATTACATACATATATAGATGTATTACATACATACATATATGAATGTAAATGTGTACTCACCTGTTGTAATTTTCTATTGTTAGCATTTATAATTTAAACTTCTAAAATTCAGCCTTTATGATTTTAAGTACTTAATTTTCATTTTTATGAATCATCACCTTAGTGACAAGGTTTGTCTAATGGATTGTATTTTGTCAAAGGTTTTTCTTTAGTTATTTTTAAGTTCCATAACAATTTTGTATTTAGTTATATACATTACGAAATATACAATGTTTTATAACATTGATATATAGGTTATCATATCGATATTTCAAAATATAAAATTTTCCTTGAGAACAATTGACATTTACTCATGTAAAATTATTTTATTATTATTCAAAGTCATTCCCACTGAAAAGTTTTATTAGCTCCAGTACAGATTGTCAGTGCATATACTTTTGGGGAGACTCGAACTCTGCATCTTTCATTTCAATTAGACTTGAACTCCCCACCTTGGCTTTGAAAAGTAGCAGAAGAAGATACCATTAGATCACATGTCTTGGTTGTAGACTCTGAATCTCTTTAAGATCCTCAACATAAATAATTTGTTGTCATGGGAAGCTCACATTTGGAGAGAAAGATCAGAGAACTTATTATACCAGATCTCTCCTTATGTTTTTAACGGGTGATGATATACGTTACAAATAATCCATTTCTTTTTTCTTTTTATTGCAATTACACTCACGAAAATCTTATCTTAGATTCTTGTTATATTAAGAAATAAGAATAATGTTAAAAACTTTTAGTGTAAAGTAAAACATATCCAATGATGTTTGTGGAGGTGTGTATCACCTTGTTATTCCGGCATGGTATTCTTATAGAACAGAACAGTGTTGTGTTATTTTTTTGCTGCACATTTTTTCTGTTGTTTTAGTGTGGACATAAACCATAAACCATTCACTATTGCTAACTTTCTTTTTCCCATTTTTTCTTACAGTGATGGAGCTTCTTAACTTGGCTGCTGACAAATACAAATAGGATTTCTGGAAGTACATACATACTCTTGTTTCCCCTCTATCCAAGTACTTTTCCCTAAATCAAGATTTGGTTGCATGTAAGGGTGCCAAATACCACTTTATTCCATATCTACTCCAAGTTTAGAAGATTTAGATGTGTTTTTTTTTAGTAATAGTTGGAATTAGGGTAAACGGGCATTCATGTCCATGAAGAAATATAAACAGTGAAACTTGGAATTAGTTTGATAATGAGTTGGCAACATTTGTGATTCATTTCCTTCAACTGGTTTGAAGGTATTGGAAGTCCCATTAGGTGTGGTATTTGGATGATAAAATTAACTGAACAGATACAATTAAAAGTCAAACCTACTAAATTTGATGGAGAGTTTTAGTGGATATGTGAGGCATTGTCACTCTTATCTCTCGTGTTCTCAAATTTTTAACAAAATACATTTAATTAATCAATTAAATCAATTTTTACTATATTATAAAAAAACCAGACCATAGAAGATAGCTTCTGTTCTTAGATCTGATGATGACTAGTAATAGTTATACTTCGTTTTTTTGGGGCTGGACTAAAATTGTGTTGATTTTAATTTTAATTTTTATTGGTGTGGGCTCAAGCCCATCAGAATCTACCCCTAAATCCATCCTTACTTGAGCTTTGCTTTGGAACTTATCTAAAAAAAAATTAATATTTTGATAAAAAAAAAAGCAAAGAAAATTAATAGTTATACTAAGTAATAGTAATGAAGTACATTTGGGATACACTCGTGCCATTTCAAGCAGTGCTTCCTATATTTAAGAAGTCGTTCAACAAGATGGACTTTTGCGGTGCTTGTCGTTTTTCCTTCTGTATGATTGGTCTGCCGGGAGTGTTATGCTTCTGAAGGAATATGCAAGCAAAGCATGTTTAAGTAATAGCAATGAGACTACTTATCAAAAAAAAAAGAAAAGAAAGGTAATAGCAATGAGACTCTCCATTTGAAACAGTACAACAAGAGTAATCATATGAATATATGACGTGGATATCTTTTTTATATGTCTAATAATTTACTAATTTTGTGCATCGAATATACGTCATTTAGTGCACCGAATGGTTCACAGGACCACTCCTCCAAACAGGAGGGATTCACTTCCGACACGCAACCACTTGAACTATACTCATTTAATAAACACTCTGAAATTCGGTTCTTTAAAAGTGTTCTGAAAAATCTTCATAAATAATTTTGTTATATTCAATTGCATGGAATTGACGTTTTGAAAAGTTGTTCCCTTTTGTTGCTTGCACGCTCTTGAAGTGTTTTAGCTATTGATGGGCCAAAATAGTGTTTGGTCTCGTATGGAGAATTTGATAAATTTTGTTGGTACAGAGATAGTATTTAAGGAAAAGAGAATTAGGAGAATTATTCTGATTATTATTATATATTCATCTGCCACAGCAAACTTATTGTTCCTCTTTTAATGGAACATATTTTTGTTAGAATTAAATATCTTCTTTTATCCATATTTGGGTATTACTTTATTCTTGGGCTATTTCTATACTATAATGCTAAAAGCATTAAGATGATAACAATTGCCTAAAGTGTGACAAAGACCAAGCGTTCGGGTTTTGCCAGGGACAATATTGTGAGTATGTGTCAAATGTATCTGTTTTCTAGTTTTAAACAGTAGTACACTGAGTTACTTTGATTTGGATTCTTCCAATAATACCATACCCTTTAATTATCATAATTTACCATATATTTTCTATTTTTCAGAAGATAATCAATTTCCTTTGTACTAACCATAAGTCCCAAACAAAATATACACACTTGCAAAAGAAACACCACTCACATTGTAAAGTGATAGAGAAGCAAGTAAACCATAATAGATAGGCTTTTTTATACATACCAGAGGGCACCTTAAACCAACATCATTACATATCTAATTCCTACAAAATTAAAAACAAAATAGAATCCATTACCAAATGCCAAAAAAGATTTCCAAATCCATCAAAAAAAAAAAAAATGTCAGATGTGTGTGTGTGTGTATGTAGTCCACCCCCCAAAACCTTTTTTCTTTAAAACATCTTAATTAATTTACTTAAGTCCAACATTAACCTTCACAGGTTCTTCTTTCTTAACAGCAACAGTCTCTGTCAACTCAGCCTTCGGAGACTTCATACTCACACCTGCAGTTCCACAACACAAAGCTGCTTTCTTGTCAACATCTTCCTTTTTTGGTGTCACCACTGCTTCCTTCTTCGGTGACTTCGCATCGCAAGGTGTTGAGACATAGCTCCTTCCAGAGCAGCAGCTTCTCCTTTCCATCTTCCTTAATTTTCCTTCTTCAAATTTGCAGAGGAAATTAGAGACTCAGTCTGATGAAAACTAATGGAACTTATGAATGATGGAAAGAGTATTGGGGGTCTTTATAGAAGAATATGAGACTGCTCATATTCTTCTTCATTTATACTGCAATTTATTCCCCTGTAAATCATGAACATACAATGCATGCACCATTCAAATGAGTTCAATGCACTTTCAAGTGCAGAAATCCCAAAAGGTGTGGACGTCATTGACCTTTCATTAGGGCACTCTGTATTCCTTAGATTGAGTTTCGACTGCACCTATCATTTCTTGCCATGACATATCAAAATTATTTATATCTATTTGTATAGCATAACTGGTTAATATTCATTTGAAGTAGTGGATAAGGTCAAGTATAGGTCAAGTAGTTCTTAGAGGCATAGCTACGTTAGCAGGGATCCTGAAAGTAAGTTTTTGAGATTTCACTTTCGAGCCACAATCCTTACTTAAATGGTGGAGTGTTGTGGGATCGATACACATACTCTGAGTAGAAGAAAAGAAAAGATGAGTAGAAGAAAAGAAAAGAAAGAAAGAAAAAAAAAAAAATGTATAGGTCAACTATCTAATTTTAATAGTTAAGATGTATTTCAAAGAATTTTATAGAACACGTGTATACACATATCCATGTTTACTGTAAATGTGTTTTACATATATATATATATATATATATATATATATATACACACACACAAGTGTAAATGTGCACGCACCTGCTGTAACTCCACAGCATTATTCATTAATCATTGAAGATGGCGAAGCATTTGAGTACAACGGGTAACGTGATTTAAAAAGAGGTGTTGATTAGACCGCAAAGAAACTTTTTGTTATTAGAATAGAGTCAAACTCATGCTGAAAATATTTGGTATCAGTCGTGATATAATGAACTCAGACGAATATCTATATTTCGTAACGGTATCGGTTGTCACTAGGGATGGCAATGGGAGGCGAGTTTGGACTGGTGTACCTTCCCCCACCCCTCCAACTATTTAAAAACCCTGCTCCTGTCCCCGCCTAAAACTGCAAAAACGTGGAGACTTTCCACCACATCCCAACAACCGTTTAACATTTTTACCTTTGCGGGTACATGTCCCGTCCCGTTTAAAACCATAATTTATTTATTGTTGAAATAGATTTTTTTTTTTTTTCGTCATCTTCAGTTCTTCACCATTACAACTTTCATTCTAATCAAATTTATTTGTTACTTTAATATTGTTATATTGGGTACTTAATAAATATACTGAGAAATATATATACTAATGAAATAAGGGTACTTAAGTAATTTGTCTATCTAAGCGGGGCGGGGCAAACTCCCCTCACCCTCGCACCAAACCTGTGCGGGTTTAATTTTATTACATCAAACCATTCTCGCCCAAATAAGCTAAACACTTCCCCAAAACGGCCAAAAACTGGGCTGGTAACCGTGGGGGCAGTCAAATTGCCATCCCTAGTTGTCACAGTTGTGAATTTTTTTTAAAGATGCACATAGTTACCATAATTGGATAAATATGAAATTTTCATGAATTTTAATATTTTTTTAAAGATCATTTAGCATAATCAATAACTTTTTAATGACCATTATTAAAAATACTTAGTGTTGTGTTTTTTGTGAAATTTTAAATACATTGTGTAAATATATTTAAAATAATAAAATTTATGAGTGTTATTTGTTTGTTTATTTATTTATTTTTTTTAAAGTTTCCCTGGTGAAAAATTCTCTCAAAAAAATTGAAATTATCATTCATGAAAAAAAAAAAAAAAAAAAAAAAATTTGATTTTGATGAATATCGGTCTGGTTTTAAAAAACTGGCCAAAGAGGCAAAAAAATGGGTCAGTTCATTGGTGAATTTGCAATCACACCGTTATACGGGGTGACTCAGTATCGACCGTATTGAAACACTGAATTTTCGAACCGACCAATTTGACGGATCATAAATCAAACAAGTCATTTCATATCATAGGCGGTAGGTATTATAGACTTATGCTTTTGAAAAGTAAAAATAGAATTACATTTATTGTTTTTGCTGACATCAACTTTCACTTGGTAACGGTCAACACACAGGGAAAAAGTGATGTCAAAACACAAATGTTAAGAGAGGCATACTGTTACCCATCTGGGTATCATGCATGCATGACATAAGTTGAATTTTAGAGACAATTGTAGACTATTGCAAAGGGGGGTGAATTATTTTTCATTAGGGAATTCAGAGAATTTGTAGAAGTTAGGAAATTGAAGAAGTTTTTGAAAGAGGGGAGAGTTTTGTAAAGTTTGTAAATATCTTAAATATTTTATAAAGATTTCTACAGATCTAATATATGTTCTTCATAATACATCCTAAATACTCATCAAGAAGGAAGATGGAAGATGTCTATATATAGGGACAAGGGAGGAGTCTCGACGAGTGAAAAAAGAAAAAGAAAGAGTAGCTCAAACAAAATTTAAACGCACCCTTATAAAAGAAATAAATTCATAAATATCATAATTATCATTTCACGCACAATGTCAAAGAAAAGAGAAATTTGTAGGTTTATTTGAACTAATTATTCTTCCAAGGCAATTATGAAATTACCCTCTAGTAAAATTAATTACCGACGAAAAATTTGTTTCTGTTGTGTGGTAGGGATTATGCAAACTCGAAATAGAATTATAGAGAGTTCTATATAATTATAACGTGTGATGAAAATAAAAGGGACATTGGGTTCTTTCTTCCCACCATAAGTCTGATTGTTTCTTCTTATATTAAATAACCATAATAAATAAAACAAACACTAATTTAGACTTGATAATGATAAACTAATCTTATATTTTCATCTGCCAAATTAAGTTTTTATTTTTATTTATCATTCTTGCCATTGGGATGCAACAACTTTCAAAGCTACAAGTTTGGAGATCTTATAACTTTGGATGGTAGGGTATGTGCAATTTTACATGATTTATTTGGTTGCATTTGTTTCTAAAATGGTAATTCACTAGCCATTTAAGTGGTTTGAAAAAGAAATGGAGGATGGGAAAAGATTTCTAATGTTATGATTGTTAAATTACTAAATTACCATCAGTGCTAAATAAAGTTAATATATTTTTCCAATAAAAATAAACGATCTTATTGTTGGCTGACCCTTGACAAATGAATCCAGTGAAATGGTGCACAAGCGTTTTTTTTATAAGGAAACTAGATACCACTATTGCATGATAGCTGGGGTAAATAGTATTCTTCACTAGTTGCTGTCCTCTCTTTGTACAGTTCTCTTTTTCAATGAATTTTATTTACCTTTTATTTATTTATTTTATTTTGTGTCTTAAAACAAGACATAAAGTGGACTTTTGTGAGAAAGGAATTCAAATAAGTTTCTTAGGTTTGGACGTAAAATATTTTTTAGAATTTTTTATTTTTATTTTCTGGTGTTTGGTTGTGGTAATATATTTACGAAGAAAAAAAAATATTAAAATTTAACAAAAATAAATTATCCATTAATTTTCGGTAAGTTATTTTACATGTCTCGCCCAATGAACTCGATCTCAACCTCGACGTAGACATTTGCCTAACACCGACAAAGTAAAAATAAAAAATATTTTGCTTGAAAAAAAAAAATTTCAAAAAGGATATTTTACGTCAAAACAAATGGAGCCTTAAAGTTAGTTGGAAATAGCAAGAAAAGAAATAAATTTTTTTGTTAAGAGTTTGGTTAGCAAGAAAAGAATTTTTTTTTTGTAAGAAAGTAATTTTTCCACAAAATTTTCCTACAAAAAATACAGCAAAATTTTGTTTTCTTGAGTAAACTATATAAAATTCCAATTATAACCCTTGTTCACTTTCTAAAATAAATTATGTTTATGCATGATTTTTGGTAAGAACATCAAAATTTCTTTCAATAGCACATCATTTTATTATTTTGATTTATATATTACTTTTATTTTTTAAAAAATAAAACTATTTATTAAATATAAATCTATTTAGACCTATTGTCATATTTAATAAGAAATGAACAATTTAGATAAATTATAATATTTTTTATTAACTTTCATGTTATTCAGACTATGAAATGAGATTTTCTCATAAATTTTTTAAAAAAATTAATCTCTTTAAATTTATTTTCTTTATTTTTACTTTACTTTCTTTCTTTAAGCATCATCTTAATATAACATTTTTAATAGCATTAAATATAACATTTTTTCTTTCTTTAAGCATCATCTCAATTAATTTACTTAAGTCCAACATTAATCTTCACAGGTTCTTCTTTCTTAACAGCAACAGTCTCTGTAAACTCAAGCCTTAGGAGACTTCATACTCACATTTGCAGTTTCAAAACTCAAAGCTTCTTTCTTGACCTTCACATCTTCTTCCTTTTTTGGTGTCACCACTGTTTCCTTCTTCGGTGACTTCGCCTCGCAAGGTGTTGAGATATAGCTCCTAGTACTTTGCTCAGATCAATACGTTGGCCTCAACGCACTCGTCAACTTTGCCTCAAGTGGCAACATCAAATTCCTAAAGATTAGAGACATATCTTGGCTTGAAGTTGGAAAAGAAAAAGAAAATCAGCAGAGAGGGAGGGAGAGAACGTAGTAGAAGAGAGAGAGAGAGAGAGAATGAGGTCTTATAATGGCTTCATGGCCATTTACAAAGTTATAATGCAATGGTGGGTTGCATTGGCCCTTTTTAAAATATCATAATATAATTATAACTTATATATATACAATAAGTTATATATATACAGCCACACAATTTGCAAAACAGAGGTGGAGGGTGAATTTCGTGGCTGTGGTAAGCCATTACAGTGGTTATGATATTCAACGGGCCCCACGACTTAAATAAAAAAAATTCTTTAACATTAATACTTATATACATACTAGCTAATACACAATCACATAATTTAGCATGTAACTACATAATTGTGCATTAAATAAATATGCATGAAATGCAATGGACTCGTGATACAAATTCCGTGCTAAATAACCTTGGTAGCGGGTCCTACTTGGGATATCTCGGCCCGAAAAATGAAAAAATGCAGAAATGACAACCAATGCATTTTTAAGAGTCCTAAATTCAAGGAAATGTTTCAATCAACAACCCGGCACACTCCACGATGTCCGGCACACAAAACAAGAAAAGACGAAAATATCCTCAAAAAATAAAAAAAATTCCAAAAAATGAAAAATGACGAAAATCGGAAACAGTACATTATATCTATTTGTCAAGCAGAGAGCAACCGGGTTAATATCTAGGGTTATAGTGAATGTCACATCTCTCATGTGCAAAAAATACTCTTAAAGTTTCAATTTGTGCAAATAGGTCCCTCTTGACACATTTAAGGGACGTAGAATTTGCCTAAGTTACCCTTATATTAACATTTTACATATTATTTAAATATATATATTTTATAAAATGACAAAAATGGACACAAAGCAAAATGACGTCGTTTAGGAAGATAAAGATAAATAATGATTATAATAGCCAATTTTGGGATAAATAATGATTATAATAGCCTAGCTAATTTAAATTTTAAATAAAAATATGTATAAAATATGAGAATGTTATCGATAATATTAGATATCTTAAAAGAGATTATATGGAAGTTTAAGATGCATGGTTTTGCCACTTCTCTATCGTTCTGAAGGAAAAAAAAAAAAAAAAAAAAAAAAAAAAAAAAAAAAAAAAAAAAAAAAAACCCTAATAGTGGTGCATATGTATATATTGTTTGAAAACTTTATGTACATTTCATAGTAGTATAGATTGATATGTATATACTTTTGTGTGTATATATTCATTTGTTTTTGTTTTATTTTATTTTTCTTAATGTGTATGTATGTTATGTATATATATGTTTCATTTATGATTTGTGATACTTTTGAAGATTATAGAACTGCATTTATATAAGTAGTGAATGAGGTTATCTTGATAATTAATGGTGTAATGACGGCATCCATCAAACATCAAAGTTAGATACTATATCATTTATAAGTCTAATTATGAAAATTGCTGGGGTTTGTCAATTTTCTTTTGCGGTCAAATTGTCCAATTTTAGATTTTTTTAGTGACTGTGGTTAGTGCAATTGGATTCCTTTTGTAATTAATGCTCGACCAATTGCAGTGGGTGTTGTAGGAGAAATTAATACATATTCACGTATTATTGGTTGGCCAATCACAAAGTATCATTTATTTGTTTTTGCTGGCATCAACTTTCACAGGGTCGACTAACAGTCAACACCAACAGAGGGAAAAATTGGTGTCAAAACACAAATGTTAAGAGAGGCTAGTCTCACGCCTCTAAGTTGATTTTTTGAGAAAATTGTAGATTATTGTGAAGAGGGATAAAATATTTTATATCATTAGAGAATTTGTAGAAATTGGTAATTGAAGAAGATTTTGGAAGAGCGAGTTTGTAAATATTCGAGATAATTTATAAAAATTTTTGAAGATTAAGTTTATCCCTAATACAGCATAACTGTACCATTCATCAAGAAGGAAAATGTCTATATATTGGGAATAGGGAGGAGTTCTTAAGCGTGACTGAGTGAAAGATGAAAAGGAAAGAGAAGTTGAAACAAAATTTTGAAAGAAATAAATTCATAAATACCATAATTATCATTTCAAGCACAATTTCAAAGGAAAGAGAAAATTATAGGTCAGACATTACAAAGACTTTGTCGTGTTCGGGTTACTGTCTCAATGGCTATCCTGCAAATTCAGAGATAGGAAGTAGAATTACATTTTGTTATTTTCTTTTTTATTAAGTGATCATTGTGTGTTATCCTTCTTTTATTAAGTGACCATTTTGTGTTATCCTTCTTTCATTAAGTAACCAGAAGAAGAAATCAAGAATCTTTCTCAACAATCAAAATGCTGAAATCAAACCTCTCCGAGCAAGCACATTAACAAAAATTCAATGGAAGCATTTAAATGTTTAAAAGAGGCATAGAATTGATTTTTTTTTAATTTAATTTTATTTATTTTGACTTTCTGTATAATGATAAAGATATTCATTCAATTATGATAAGTCATTCTCTTGCCTGGGTGATATAAAATTCACAATAACAAATGCAACAACAAATATATAAAAATCCTTGAAATGTATTTGTAATCAAGTGTCATTTTGAATTATTTGTTTAATTTATATATAATCAAGTGTCATTTTGAATTATTTGTTTAATTTATATATATATATGTTTTGACTTTTAGTAATTTATGAGAGAATGAATCTGGCAAAATCTTATGACTGCAACCGCTATCAGAAAAAGATTTCATAATAATTAATGAATAATAATATTTAGGCCTGACTACCAAAAATGTAATTGACGTAAATTTTGAAATACCAAATTTTGACTCTCACCATTTACTAATATAACTTCTAACATACTAAAACATAGCGAACAAAGTACAGATTGGTTGCATTGCTAATGGGGCTGGGGTTGGCCATCATCGGCAAATGGGGAGTGAAGCTTTACCATTGTTGGTTTGTTAGGCGGGCTTTATTTATTTTTTATTTTTTTATTTTTGCCACACCACACATCAATTGGTAACAGCAAACAATCATGTTTATTTTTTTACAATGATATTTTAGCTTTTATCACTTCGTTTCGGTTCTCTAATGGCATTTTGTCTTCCCAATTAAGTTTCAAATGTGTTTTTAATAATTGTTGATATTAGGACAAAAGGTATTTATGTTCATGAAGACACAAAAACCATAAAACTTAAAATGCATTTGTGCTTTATTTCCTTCAAATATTTGGGCATTGAAAATAAAGGGATTGTTGATGAGAGCAAGTTATTTTAAAGTCTAATCAAGAGTGTAGTCCTGAAAATTAGTGGGAGCGAATTCAAGAGCAAAACGTGAAATCGACAAAATCTTAGTCACAAAAAATACAAGTGAGGGCATAAACGGAGCGTGAAAACGGAAACACGTGCAGAACGTAAAAGCTGCACCAGTTAAGAAAAATTATTTTCTGAGAGCTCTTCATGAACAGTTAATCTATTTGTAACCCATCGCACAATATTATATTGGCCAAATGGTCCGAAGGCTGTTCAAGAACCCTTCCTTGAACTTTTCAAATGAAAGCTAAGTCAGTCATACACATATACAGTTCAATGGAGTGAAATGCTTGGAATTTAAAGCAATTTCTAACTTGAAATGTATGGCAAACTTGATCAGAACATGAGAGTTCAACTACATAGCATTAGAACATGAGAGTTCAACTACATAGCATTAGAACATGAGAGTTCAACTACATTGCATTTGCATATTTGAATGAGGTTGGCAACTTGTTTGTCTCATGGTACAATCCTCTTCTTGTGGAGCCCCCCTTTCTCCTTGGTGCATAAAGACAAAATGTAAGACTGGTGCCAACAGTTCATCAAAGAAGAAAGGACTCACCTAGAATACCAACAGATGATCAAAAAATCATTGTATTATGTCCAACAAGATCATTATCAAAATAAAAGGTAGCCAGCAATCTTGCTTTACTGACTGTAAATCAGAACAGGATAGATAATAATCCCAAAAATCATATATTCCACGAAGTTATTTTCTACAAACAATTTTCACATGACATAATACAGATTTTCTGCTCTAAGAGAACTATTTCAAAATGATGCTTTGTGTTATGAATTTTCAGCGGTCAAGAAAATTTATCTCCCGTAGGGTACTTCCTCACCTAGTAAAGTAGAAGTTCGAGAGTTCAAGTTTGGTGCGCGAGTCTCAACTAGGGAAAAAAAAATCATATTCTACTGGCATTTATGCTCAAAATATATGGATGGCAAGACTAGCAGGAAAGAGTAAGATAAAGTGCAATTGCCAGATGTTAAATGTAATTCCAACTAAGATGGTTTTAAGAGTACCACAATCTGATGAAGGGAGTGATTTAGTTCAAGATATCGATTCTTTTTTGAAAAAAAAAAAAAAAAAGAATCGGATTATATGTGAGAATTTCGGCCCTATGTTTTAACAAGTAAACCCAAGTGTTAGAGAGGAAAAAGAAATGAAGTACTGGGATGAGGTTTTGTTTAATTGAGAGGCACATCAAACAAACTTGAACTGTAAATTATCATATTTGAAAGTCTAATATTCTAACAAATCGATCAATTTCAATCCATTAAATTACCCGTCAACAATGTAAATGCTTTGCCAGCATGACGAAGTAAGGTTAAGATATCAGGCATATTGAGATGACCCAAGCTATAGCAATCTCCATTGACGCATATTCCAGAATTAATAAAAAAAATGTAGGTTACATAACATTTTCATCTACTTTACCTCTTCATGGACAATTGATATAGGCCACTTAAAAAGCCTTTGCATGCCAGGCGACAGAAGATAAATCCTTATTCTTCCAGCCAGTATGGCACCTAGGGGGTCGATAAATGTGAGGCATACCGTAAAGAAGAATGAGCTCAGGCACCCTAGGGAGATGACGTGTCTACCCTTTTTGTATTATACCTCAGCCAGAATTAGAGATGCCTCTTTCAGGAGGAAGCCTTGAGACAGTTGTCACAAGGATTAGCACCATATTTACAGGCATTTCGGTCAAATGATTCTCCAAAGTGTTCAAGCAATGTTTGTCTACGACATTCAGCCTGTAGAATACAGAAAAATTGAAAAAATTAATTATGCCTTTCACAAGTTACTTTCGGCAATAAAATGTTGTAACTTCTTTAGCAGACAACACAAGGACATAATTCACGAAACATGAACCAACTTACCTTAAGTTCACAGTACTGTTGCATTTTCCGAGCTTGAGCCATGGCTGTCTTAAAGCTTTCGTTTTTGTATCCTTGCCCGCTTCGTAACATGCATACAACCCGACTGAAATCCTTCTTCTGGTATAGAGCAACACACAAGGCTGGAAGATTATCTCTTCCTGCCCTTCCAGATTCTTGATAATAGCTTTCAATTGATTTGGACAATGTATTGTGGACAACAAAACGCTGAAAATATGGAAATGATCGTTTTAGTTTTCAAAAAATTACACCTTACTAAACCCCACCCAAAAAAAGAAAAAAAACAGGATACAACATCATAATGTTAGGCGTTGACTGATTTCCACTGTAACAGCTACAGTTATAAAAGAAAAGGCATTTCTTTTCATTTCATAGTATTACTTTTTTCACATTAAAACTTATATGTTACTATTTTGACAAATAAGATCACTAACATATTACCCAAGATCTTTATTAAAGGTATGAAACATTATAATGGTATTCTAACCATTTTTGATAAAGTAATCCAAATCAACAAGTTTTTAAGAAATTTTTTTTTTTAAGCAACCAAATCATCTAACAATTTGCTTATACATTAGTAAATCAATAACAAGAAAATACCAGGCTAGAAGGCCAGGTGTCTGTTGGACTCTCAAACTAAATCTTAAAGGTTCTAGTCCCCTTGTATCATAAGCATGAGGGGGAAAAATCACAAGGAACACATTTACTTCCAGAGATTATAGAGAGTATAAAGTGTCATCCTGCAATAGGTCACCTGTGCAAATTGAAAATAATACTAACATTCATATAGCAATATCTACAATAGCATCAAAGAAAGAAAATGCAGAATTTAAATGCTTTATCTGGACTCACAACATCAGGTTTGTCTATCCCCATCCCAAAAGCAATAGTAGCGCACACAACATGGACCTCTCCTGTGTGCCATTTGTTTTGAACGGAAACCCTCTGCCGAGCTGCTAAACCAGCATGGTAATATACTGTTTTAATTTTACATTTCTCATTCAAAAACTTTGAGACCTCTACACATTCACTTTTTGAAAGGCAGTACACAATTCCACACGAATTCTTGAAACGATCATTCAGTAGTTTTCCGAGCTGCTTTAGGGGTTCCTTGGTCTTCTCAATCACTTCATACTTTAAGTTGGGTCTATCAAAGCTTGTCTCAAGGACAAGAGCATGTGGGATCCTTAAAGCATTTATGATGTCCTGCAGATGAGATCAAGGAACCATATCTGGTATATTAAAATTCAGAGAGAAAAACCGGGGTTCGTGAAACCTTCATACCTCACGAACTGGCTTGGTTGCAGTGGCCGTCAAAGCCATCACAGGAACATCTGGAAAATTCTGCTTTAGACTTCCTAGACCCCTATAATCTGGACGAAAATCATGTCCCCATTGGCTGCAAACAAAACATAGACAAGACAGATAGAATTAAATAAATAGCAGATTTCAATTGAGAAATTGCTTTTCTTAATAAAATGTGATGGATCTTGAACTGGCTAACAATTCATAGGAAGATCATGACCACACTCCAAGAATATGAAAGTGTAATTGGATTTGTTGTGATTAATTGGTATTCTGAAAAAAATATTTGTGAATTACAAACAATTTTTATAATTATTTGCATAATATAAACTGTTGAGACTTTATGACAACAGCTCCCCTCCCCCCAACCACCTGGCATTCCTCCAGTCAATGTCATTGTACTATTTTTCACGAATAAACCCTAAATACTGTTGCATGCTGTCGCTAAGTTCCTGACTTTCAACTCTACTCTGAGTACTCTCCAAGCAATTCTAGGTTATAACTCTTCCCACACAATTCAGGGAGGAAAAAAATAAAAATAAAATAAAGGGCCAGCCTAGTGCCCATTAAATATTTTCCTAGAACAGTGGGTATGAGTTTAACTTTTGCCATGCCAAAGTTATGAGAATAGACTTTCTTAATACAGTGGGCCTAATGCCCATTAAATATTTTCCTATATTGGCATCAACTTTGAACAAATTCATCAAAAGGAAGTGGCATACCTAACGCAGTGTGCTTCATCAACAACAAATCCTGCTAGTTGTCCCTGTGATTCATTCACAATCCTTCAGCACTGTTTACAATTTTCACTAGTAGTGAGAAACTTGCAGTAGTAAACAAGGATTCTAAAAAGCTCACCTTCCGATGCAGGCATTTTAGAACTTCATGAAATGATAAATTCCCAACAATCCTTTCAGGAGTTACATACAAAAGCTTGCATGATGGTTTATCTTTCCTGGAAATATGAAAAAAATGCAAATGTAAAAAATTAATTAGTGAATTAACCATGTATTAAGCAACAGATAATTGAAAGATTAAATGAAGATGTGGTAACAAAAACAACATTCTATTAAACAAATTTTACAAGTGCAGAACACAAAATGATCCCAAATGCGTAACTCCCAAGAGCGACAAATTGCATAGAACTCTCCAAAACAATTTCATGCTCCCTTCAGAACAACCTAAAAAAAAAACATATAATAGAAGTCCCAATTACAGATAAAGAATTGAACCTTGCCTTAACTCTTGCAGGACTGCAGCTGCTTGTGAAGTAGTTTGTTGAGAATTTAAAAAAGTTGCTGGTATTCCGAATTTGAGGTTCAGTGTTATTATCTGATCCTGGATGAGTGAAAGGAGGGGGGATATTACCACTGTAACACCTGGTTGCAGAGTAGCTGGAAGCTGCACACAGAGCAGCATCATGCATCAAAACAGTTCAAACACGTGAAAGGTAACACTTTGCATTCAAGCATTCACAAGACACCAATATTGGATAGTACAGCTTCTTGAGGTCCTTCCTGGAGCCAATTTAGTCCGGACTAAAAAATTCAACAAAACCATAACCCACTTATGTGTAGATTTCTCTTTCACCATTAATTTCATAGTGCATTAGGCATTAAACTCTTGAAAAAACAGCCATCAATTGATGAGCACCATATACTTTTTTCCATGTAACACAAATAAATGCAGTACGATAGAAGGATCAAAACTATTAGGCCTATGTAAACTGTCCAGCCAAGTACAACCACCTCAATAGGTAATGGGATTATGGACCGGGATCCTCTCCTATCCCTTATCCCATCTTGTGTCATCTTGTGCCCTAGTAAATCAGCAGTGCAACACACTACATTACAATGCAACACACTACATCACGAGATGCAACACCCAAGCAACAACGATGTAACACTTGATGCAACACATTTACATCAAAGATGCAACCCCATGGAACATATTACATCGTGTTGCAACGCTACAACACCATTAAATGGACAATTTAACACCTTTATGTAGTTGTTACATTGTCGATTTAAAGTTGTTGCATTAACATTTTAAAGTTGTTGCGCTGTCAATTTAAACACATGAGAGGATCCTGATCCATGGGATCGTAGTCCCAACAAGTAAACTTAAAAAGTCAACCATAGTATGCGATATTAGAGCAAACAGGGCAATATTTGATTTCTCCAGATAAACAAGCCTTCACAAATTTTCTATTCATAATGCAGTAAGAGAAGAATTAGAAGCCTCTTGGGATTTCTTTCATAATGTCATCGAGGGGGTTGAAGTGGAGTTTACTTTAAAGAGTACGTCAACCATTAGCTTATGCTAGTATATAGAAGTCGTTTATAGCTTTTTATAGGGAGTGTTTATTTAAGCTGCTTTCTTCATTTTGAAATAACTACAAAATCAGGATTTTTTTTTCCATAATATACTCTTGCATCCTCCTTGAAACATTCATTAGATCACCTGAAAATCCAATTGCATCACCAGTTCTACTCCCATTTTTTTTATTAGAGTCAAATCCTATCAAGGCTGTTGTTTCTTATATAGTTTTTAGACCACCTGGTTCCACCCTAAACTCAAGAGATCCCACTGGAGCAAGATTGTATAGGGTTAACCCAATAGTAGTATAAGCGATAATATTGTACAACGTAATGTAAGGGTTCTAGTAAATAGAAGTTGAAACCAGATGAAATCACCCACACAGGATTAAGGAAGTTTCAAAAAAAGAAAAGAAAAGGGAATATCCACTCACAAGCCTCTGGTAAACTACATTTAAAGGTAAAGTAAGTTGCATGAAATTTAGGGAAAAAAAAAAAAAGAAGAAGGTTGTGTGAACATAATCATGACTAGAGACATTGTTGACACCAAAATCATCTGATAAAGCAAATTTTTTTCCGAATGATGCTGGAGAAAAGGAAGGAACAGTGACTTAGTATTGTGCACAAATTACAGATCACTTTCCCAGATCCATATGGTTCAAGGAGAGAACTTAATTTTTCCTAGGTTACAGTTTAAGGAGCTATTTGAGAATCTGAATTCTGTTCAGTCAAACACAACCTTGGCCAAGGTGTTATTTTTTTTCTCTCCTGGATAAGATGAAGTTACCAAATTTAGGTTTGGTAACAACAAAGAAGGGACCAAATAACATTCAAATAGAAATCAGTTAAATACTCAAGGTCAACTGTAAATTCCATATATCATTTTTTATCCTCAAGCTTTTGCTGGTCTGAAATACATCAGCTATAAGAGGAAGGAAATCTGACCTGGTAACATAAACTTTTACCACCTCCCGTGGGCATAAGAATAAAGCTATCCTGCTTTGCCACAGATGCTTTACAAGCTTGATGCTGCAAAGGCCGAAAGTTCCGGTTCCCGAATATTACTACATTCGCCAACTCAATGTCATCCAATGCCTGTAACTCTTCATAACTAAAAGTTCCATTTCCATCTTTTGAAGTTCTGGAGCATGTCATTTTATTGGATCTGGATGGAACTGAAGCTTGAGTGATGCTGCTGCTCTTAGAATCCTTCAACCAAAACCAGATATATTCAATAAATGGAAAATTAGGTTCAACTCTACTGGGACAGGTGGAAATCTGTAGCTTATCACCTATGCTCATTATATTTCAATAAATGGTTATTTTGATGCAATAGTACAAACTATTCAAGAAAGCTACTTAAAACTTGAACGCAATATATCCAGATACATAATAAATACTGTGTTTTTGCAGCCCAATAAAAACGGAACAACATAATTAGAAAAGTTAATAAGGAATCTTACCATTGGCATTGTATGATGTTTATGTGAACTTTGTGAGACGGCATGATTGCTCCTATCAGGACAGGAGGAGGGGGCGATATCCAAGTCTTCACTGTCACTTGAAGAATCCAACAGCGTGAAACCTGGATGCTTCTGGGACTCCGGTGAGTCTTCTATAACATGGACATAGCTATTTGCATTTTTGTCATTATAAGGTACATAATTGTTGGGAAGATTCTTGTCAAACATGTCAGCCAAAGTTCCACAAGCCTCTGACTCCATGGCTTGTAAATCATCCCAATCCTCACTTCCTTGCATCGATTCAGCCAGCGCCGCAAGAAAATCATCACCACAGTGCTCCACAGTGATAAAATCCCGTCCATCGTCGCCTTCACAAGAATGAGATAACAACAATAACAATCGAAACTAAACCACCAATATGCCTCATCATAGTTATAGTCAGCCATAATTTCTACTTTCATAAATCCAGGACAAGTTCATTCTAAAAATTTACTCATAAACAGGATATAATTGGCTCAATATCCAACTATCAGTGGTTCATTCCAATGAGGTACAATCGAGAAACAAGTATTGACAAACAGGGAATAGTCTCTAATCTTTTTTCTCTTGTAATTTGTTTAAACATCCATTATTGAGGGATTAGCTAAATAGTGCCAAATGGCTAATATTATACATAATTTTACATGAAAACAAAGTTTCGTGATTTTTTTTTCTCGGTAAATAAACAAAGTTCTCTGATTTCCATTCCTAAATCCTAAATTCAAAAAAACAAGTCTACCACTTCATGAAATGGCTGATTTAAAAAAATTCAACCCCATTGAAAAGTAGAATAATCCTGAAAATTACCACTTCATGAAATTCTGTCATTTTCAATTTCAAAAGTTCCAAAGGTAAATACTGATACCAGCACTCAAAGTTACATTGAACTAATCTAAAATAAAATGCAATACTTCTGAAATCCCAAATTGACAGAATACAAATCACATTTCCAATAAAACTAGTATACAAGTATAAATGTATACATAATTATACAAACATATTCATAGGCATATAAATGTGTATTTGTTCTAGGGTTTGTTTTTGGGAAGTGAACTAATACCGTATAGATGAACAAGACGATCCAAGCACTTCTTGGAAGATTCTTCGTCGAATCCGAAATCGAGGGCCAAGCTAAGTAACCTTGCTTTCTCTATCTCCAGATCCTCATCGCCCATTTCTTCTCCCTGATTGTATCCCTCACCCCTTAGATGAACTTCCCGCGCTTTTATCCACGTGAGCGCTCTTACATATCGTCTGTGTCTCTGTTTAGGTTATAAGAGAGTTCTTATGAGTTAGATGGGCTTGTAGTCTTTCGGGTATGGACTTACCCAAACGAGTCTCATTCATCACCTAGGCCCAATATATTTGGGTTCAGGCCTAGGTTAAGTTTAACTCAACTTTTTTCTCCCAAACCCAGGCCTAGGTCTTTCGGGTATGGACTTACCCAAGCGAGTCTCGTTAATTTTAAGGAAATTTTTTAGTTCTGTTTTTCGAAAGAAAAAAAAAAATAAGAATAAAAATTGGCTTGGAATTTCCTGAAAATTGTTCTATGAAATACTATAAAGAAAATTGAACGAAAAACTCCCTGTTCCCAAACATAATATATGAAATTATTTTAGTAATTTCTCATTTAGGATAGTTTTTAGTAACCAAAGAAAAATGATAAAAGAAATGACAATACTTGGATCTTCCCCTTCGAGTATAAACTTTATTTTACCCGCTGATGTGGCCCAATATAATCTAGACATATGTTTAAAATTCTAAAATTTTTAAAAATAATTATTACCCATTTTCTTACTGATTTAAACACAATTTCAAAGTTTTTTTTTTTTCCCTAAAAGAATCACAATTGTTTCTATACCCAACCTTCATTTAAAATTGAAAAATTACTAAATTTATTATAAAAAAATGTATTATATTAAGTATTTAATAGGGAAGGAATAAGAGTTTAAAATTCCAACAATAAATTCCTCATTAGTGAGTATTTACAACAAACTTACCGCTGATGTGGGCTAATAATAAATGAACAGGTCTTATTTTAATTACTAAATCATAAAAATCAAATGTGTATTTATTTTTGGTGGTTAGTATGTTGTAAATTATCACTAGTGAGGAATAAAGTATTGTCCTTATTTTTAATTTTAAAAACAGGACACGTTTACTAGGTGCCGGACACATGTCCAAGCCCTGAATACGTGTATCTGTGTCTGACACCAATACACAAACCCTAAATGAATTGTCGGTTCGGTGACTGTGCCAAAAGTAAAAATAGAAAATATAGTGTAAAATATAAAATAAAAAAGAAAGAAAAGGCTGGACATGATAGGTCACTGCCCATGTTGTGACTATTGAGAGGTGGTTGTGCAAATATTTAACTCCCTCCCTCTCCCCAGACATCGTCCATCTAAAGGAGAGAGCATCATATTTTCTATGCTAAGAAAAAAACTTTCAGAAAGCAAAAAGATGGCCATTGCCACACTACATCAACCACCATCAGAAATCACCACCACCACCACAGAAGCCAATGCGCCACCACCTCCCCTTGCCATTGCCAATCTGAATTTGAATTTGAATTTGAAAGTGAATTCAAATTCCATGACCTCACCATTTCCTATCAAGTCTAAACCAACTTCTGTCAAATGCAGCAACCCCTCCTCAAAAAGGAAACAATGCTGAACAACCCAGATCCCATACAACCAGCCCAACCTACTTTAAGCTATCAACCAAACTCCCCCACACTAGCCAATCCACTTACTCTATCCACCTTAGCCCACCATATTGCTAATACCACCATTCCATTACCACCTACAGCTAGTACCCAACAGCTATTACCACTTACAAATAAATGGACTGAAGAGGGCATCATATTCTAGTTAAGAGAGGGAGACTAACTTTTAGATCACACTCCTATCTCTCCCTCTCTAAGTCTCCATGGAGAATACGCCCCTGGCCCCAGCCGCAGCTCCAAACTTTCCCCAGCCCCCCGCCGCCGCTGCCGGTGACCTTCCCAAGCCCCCCGCGGCAGAGCTTGTAAGCTTACTCACAACTACAACCCGGTTTGGTTTTTTTTTTTTTTTTTCGGATTTGTCATTCTAGTTTGAAATTTAGCATTTATTATGTCTAGTTATTTGATTTATGCTCGTTTAGGTGGTCAATTGTGAGATTGATACAATACTTGATTTTAGGTGTGTCGGCCTTTCGCTTGCGGATGCGGAAAGACCACCTATTATGCCACTCCTGAGGGTTCAGCTTTTGTGTTGAAATGCAGACTTTGTGGGGATGAGCGTGCTCTCTAGGTCTAGTTTTTACATGATACCCTAAATCAAATACATTTTAGCATTTCTGTTTTTTTATTTATTTATTATAATTAAAAAAACATAGGGTAGTTTTTCATTGCATTTCTTTTCTGTTGTTGTTTTAAGTTTTAATGTAGACCTAAAACTATTCTAATTAACGTTGTTTACTTTTGTTGATGATGGATTCTGCGCAACCTGGATCTGATCTGACTTCCTGAATAAAGAGAGGAAAAAGTAATCCTACGAACACCGGTGTGTTACCGGTGGAGTAGGCTCCGACGAACAAGTCAGTGTGAATGATAATCTCCCTGGAGAAATCGAGAAATTGAGTTAGGGTTTATTGCGTACCTCAAAACGTTGATTCCCCCGCTTTTTTTATAGGGCTTAGGTTAAGATGTCACGTAGAATTACCTTATTGTAATATGTAGACTTAATCATCATCGTAATTTTTAATCCTTATCACAATCTTTAATCCTTATCGTAATCTGTAAAGCTTATCTCAATCTGTAATCCTTATCGTAATCTGCAGAGCCTATCTCAATAATGCGTTAATTTAGTAATCTTCCCTTAATTATGGATATTTAGATTATACATCCATCAGTTGCCCCCCGTTTCGGAGGATTGCTTGTCAAACCACCGGAACGTTAATTCCAAAATATCACACAATAATATATAGTTAGAATTGCAGAGCCTTGTCCATTAGCCTGACTTATATTGTCATTTCGCGAATACAGTCGGGGGTCATAGTATCACATTGGCAGCTCGTATATGTGGCAAGCTCGTATATTTGTCGTATATTGGCAAGCTTGTATATTTGTCGTAGTGCCACATTGGCAGCTCATATATGTGGCAAGCTGCCATGCTGGTAGTCTACCATTATGTGGCAAGCTGCCATGCCATGCTGCCGTGGCAAGCTGTCCTGCTGGCATGCTGCCGTTATTTGTTAAGTTGCCCTGGCAGGCATGCTGCTTTTATTTGGCAAGCTGCCCTGCTGGCATGCTGCCTTTATTTGACAAGCTGTTATGCTAGCATGCTGCCGTAATTTGGCAAGCTGCCCTGCTGGCATACTGCCTTTATTTGGCAAGCTGCCCTGCTGGCATGCTGCTTTTATTTGGTAAGCTGTCCTACTGGCATGCTGCCGTTATTTGGCAAGCTGCTCTGTTGGCAAGCTGCCTTTATTTGGCAAGCTGCCCTGCTGGCATACTACCTTTATTTGGTAAGATGTCATACTGGCATGCTGCCGTTATTTGGCAAGTTGCTCTGCTGGCATGCTGTCTTTATTTGGCAAGCTGCCATGCTGGCATACTGCTTTTATTTGGTAAGCTGTCCTACTGGCATGCTGCCGTTATTTGGCAAGCTGCTCTGCTGGCATGCTGCCTTTATTTGGCAAGCTGCCCTGCTGGCATGCTCCCATTATTTGGCAAGCTGCCCTGCTGGCATGCTACCGTTATTTTATACTTGATTTTATTGACATCTTTAGTCGGCTCGTCCCTTTAATAAGGAAAGTAGATTAAGACGAGTTTCACGTAACTCGTAATAAGGTAAGTAGATGAATACGAGTTTCACTCAGCCCACCCTTTAACAGGGGAAGTAGATTACTATGAGCTTCACCCAGCTCACCTTTTAACGAGGGAAGTAGATTACTATGAGCTTCACTCATCTCACCCTTTAACAAGGGAAGTAGATTAATACGAGCTTCACCCAGGTCACCCTTTAACAGGGGAAGTAGATTAATACGAGCTTCACTCAGCTCACCCTTTAACAAGGAAAGTAGTTAACCCCTCATCTTTTTACGAGGGAAGTAGATTACTATGAGCTTCACTCAGCTCACCCTTTAACAAGGGAAGTAGTTAACCCCTCATCTTTTTACGAGGGAAGTAGATTACTATGAGCTTCACTTATCTCACCCTTTAACAAGGGAAGTAGATTAATACGAGCTTCACCCAGGTCACCCTTTAACAGGGGAAGTAGATTAATATGAGCTTCACTCAGCTCACCCTTTAACAAGGGAAGTAGTTAACCCCTCATCTTTTTATCGAGGGAAGAAGATGAAGCTGACCCTTCATTCTTTTAAGGGGGAAAGAGGTATGGTCTTGGCATGGGAGTTATCTCCTCTGACGGTTGTCTCGGGATATTGGCAAATCGTTGACACTTGTCGCACTTTTGAACGAAGTCAAATGCATCTTTCTGCATGGTGGGCTAATAGTATCCTAGTCGGATGGCCTTGTTAGCAAGTGACCTACCCCCAGCATGGTTTCCACAAACTCCTAGGTGGATCTCCCTTAAAATGTAGTCAGCTTCCTCGCTAGAAACGCATCGTAAATATGGCATGGAGAAGCTTCTCTTGTTGAGCACCCCTTTGATAAGCGTATACCTAGCTGCTCGCATCTTGACCTTTCGAGCTTTTGCTCGGTCTGTTGGTCGCACCCCATCCTTGATATATCTGATGATAGGATCTGCCCATTCCACACTCAATATCGCTTGTTGCACTTCAATTTGTCTCTCCTGAGATATAGATGGTTCGTCCAAACATTTCAGTGGTATATTCTTATTGATCTCAGGTTCAATGCAGTAGCTAGCCGGGCTAAAGCGTCTGCTTTCCCATTCTCTTCTCGTGGTATTTGATGAATTGAGAATCTTTGGAAGTGATTCTTTAATTCTTTCACCTTTTGTAGGTAACTCTTCATCTTCTCGTCTCGTGCCTCATATTCCGCTTGAACTTGTCCAGCGACCAGCTCGGAGTCGGTGTAATTGCTCAACCCCTAGGGTATTTGCCACTTTTAATCATGCTATCAAGGCTTCGTACTCTGCTTTATTGTTGGTTGCGTTGAAACCAAACCGAAGTGCGTACTGTATACTTTCTCCCTCTGGGGAGACAAGAACAAGTCCGGCTCCGCTAACCTGAACATTAGATGACCCATCTATGAACAAGTCCCAGACT